ACTTTGGTAGTATTGCAAAGCTTCTACGAAAATGATGATTTATAAGTTAAGAAACATTCGAATCTGACGATACTTGGTGGGGCAAAGCACAAGCTTGGTGAGACCAAGTTCAACGTCGGTGGGACATTGGCCCCACCATTTGAAAAGAAAACTCCGCCCGAGGGCATGCCGATGAGGAAATATTGCATCTCTAGAACCAGCCTGTTTAATGTTGACTGAACATATGTGCTGGCTCCCTACATGCGGTAGCATATGGTAGCATAGTAAAGAAACTGCAATAAAAGCGCAAACCCTCGTGACCAATCGTGAAAACCATGAAACAAATCCCTATGTCGTGCCGATGTCGTTTGCCTTGGGTTTTTCAAATTCATTGCTGGCAGACCACACCACTATGGAAGAAAATAAATGATGTTGCTTATTATCAAGTGTCGTATTATAACCATGATAAAAGCAAGATGAAAAAATAACAATGGCTCTGGTCCAATTCGCCTTCCTCCTATGTGAAATCCTGGCTGCGCCACTGGCGATGATGAGTGACGTCACATTTCTGAGGTGCTGGCCTGCAATTTGGATGTAATCTCTAGTATGCCGCTGATGACATTTTTATTGGCATTGCGAACGTACGCTCACATTCCTGTGTCTACATCTTTTATGCAACTTAAAGTCAATCATCAATCCATTCAGTTAATCTGCTCGTAAGCTGATCGGGCGGTGTCGCACGTACCTTAATAGGTGAAATTATGTATATCCAAGCTCACGCTGGGAAACTCTCAATCACTTTCGCACTTTTAAGAGAGCTTGCACGGCCGCTGATAAGCTAGCTGGTACCATTGGTGCTTTACCAGAGTGCCCCAGTCACGTACTCCTTAAACGAAACGCGCATCTATTCAAAATTGGAGACCAACAACACGATGAGCGCCTTTTGCAAACCATGAAAAGCTCACGTTCACGCACAGCACAAACCAGCAACAAACCAGTTGGATGGAGCACCGATATTTTAAGCCTGTCGTTTCCAACTCCTCGACCTGATTCGTCGTTTTTCATAAAGCAAACTGATCGGGGGGGGGGGGGGGGGTAGCGGGGAGGGGAGGGAGCGATGCGACTCACGGGCGTTTCCAAAGTAGTGAAGATGTGTACATCTTGGCTTATTTTAACGGAAAACGCCAGTGAATTGATCTCAACGAGATCTCGCGATAGAAACTAGCTTTATGCTGTTCGTTCAGTAACTGACCCCATTATGGTAGGTCAAATGTTGAATTTTCCAGATAATCGCAATTTCAGCTTTACAACGTAATACTTAGGATACTACGTCTTGTGGCGATACACAACTTAAGCAGGCGTATTTCTTGTTCATTTCTGAATACCTTCATGCATATTTTCTATTCGTTTGGGGCAAAAATTCATGACGCATGACTTCGTTAATAAAACGCAACAATGTCGGCGGGCTGTGCGCATTCTGCGGTATCGTCGGTTGCCTCCCGCTGCACGAGTTGGCCATGGATCGCCGAACAGGGTCCTTCAAAAACCTCCGCTGCTCCGACACCAGAAGAGCCAGCAACACGTTTTTGGCATCAAAAACACGTGCAATGAATGTCCCATAGCCCACTAGAAATTTGGGCGCGATTATACGACATGCTGGAGGAGTTATCTCACAAACCCTTAGAGGGGTTGCAACAAACCCACCCCACCCCCATCAGTGCGAAGATTGACAAGATCATCCTCTTCACATTGGCATTGAGCATTGACAAGGACGATAAATCATTATCATCCTGTGGGAAGGCGATCCACATCTCCGCAACTTGGAATTCAATTGATTTATTTTCATGTGCTGGTCGCACTAGTGGCAGCTGCACCACTTCGTTTTGTCTGATGTTTTGTCCACAGACACCCACATTTCTTGACATGGGTTCGGCCAAACACGAGGATCTGGGTTTTTGTTAACTTTTACATCACTATGCTCTTGTAGTACTATACCGATTATTCACATAAAACCGGGGTAAATTTGCTTTAGCTTGTGATAAACTAGTAGGTAAAAGCCTGGGATGCACAACTTAAACTATGTTCCGATCCCTTCTTGTTCTTTGTAACCATCGCCGATGTTACGCTCCGATCGTGCGTTAAATATTGTAAAACGTGATGTTACCACGCGAGCAACGACAGCATCAGGCAGAAGACGGCGATGATGTGCAAGAGCTGTAAGAAGCTCTGCGCAGGTACTTGTTACCTTGTTTGTATGTTCTGTCCATGACAAACAGCGATCAAAACTTAGGTCAAGTAGTTGCCTTTTTACTAGAGCTCACCACCTCACACCAACATTCAAGCTGACTGCTGACATTTTCAGACCGTTCAAAGTGTTTGAATCAAAGCATAGGTTCATAGTTTGAATACAGAGGACCAGGAACATTATTTCAGGAAACTAAAGGATCCCAACGGAGGTGTCATACCATTTGGAAGCCGATAGAAGAAAACTTCTTAAAGGTAAGGGATACAGCTAGAGAAGTTCACAGCACATCATGGGACCACTGATCATCAAATAGATCTAAGGACAGTCATCAGCCCCCAGACGAGATCGTGCTTGGCATTCACGATTCGACCTTTTCCACATAATCCGTCTTGTTAAAAGCAGCTTAGGTTTAATTCATGACGCATCGCGCTTCACAGTTCATGATAATAACTGGGATTTGAGCCGCAAACCTAATATGTAGTGTGGTATCGAAAGGAAATACCTGTGTGACACCTTGCAGCATCACACAGGGACGGCCACGGGCGAGCTATGGTTATGTTAGAAGAAGCAAGTATTTGGAGCATATTCGAGAATGCCTGAAGTAAATTTGTGCAGTTAATGTAATAAATCCGTTGACAATAAAGCTGATCACTAGCCACCATAATAACATCCTTCCTAATAGCATGTGCAGCACCGGGCTCATGCATGACGGCTTATTACGATTCCCTGTGTCCAGTGAAGAGGCTCACGGGATAAACACATAGCAAGGTGCGCTATGAATGACTTTATGCCCTGTCCTTGGTCAACTGACCATCCATTCTAACGTGGATAGTAAATACGAGCTCGTCCGCACGCCACCTGCAGACGCCTCACGTCCCACGCCAACGCCGTCCTTGGGTGTGCGTCCGAGCTTATCGAACAGCTGGCGACATCTTGCTGATCTACGTGCGATGACTTCATCCTTGGTTACTTTTGTCTGAAACGATACTTAGCCAATCTGCGATTTCCTCATGGCTAAATACCAAAATAGTGTGTGCACAGAGCAGAAAGTATTGCTATATATTAGTTGCATAGCTTGCATGTATGGTCTAGGCTGAACAAAACTGAATTGGTGGTAAATTGGATAAGATTTGGGGATCGCTTCTGAAATTTCAATGCAAGGTAACAGGATCAGTTTAATTTTGGTATTGGATGATGTTACTTCGAACATGCTCTGCATAGTTGCATCATTAAGAAGTACCCGCCCGCAACTGTGTGTTGATTTTGATCAGCAACACATGCGGCATTCGGGGTGCAATTTTACAAAATTAGGTTGGGGTTGGCTGAGCGGGGAAAAAACTACTGCTACCCTTAAAATGCTCCCACAGATGCCATTTTTTATGTGATTGGGCAACTTTTCAGTGATGTGGGATGAGCATTTGAATCAAACGGGAAGGTACGTGCCTGGTAGCATCTACCATTGCTTCTGTATAATTTCATTGTGGTTCTTTCTCTCATGTGTGGATTTCACTATCTCAGAACGCATAGTTGTGTAATTATACCTACCTATAGTGCGTAGTTAGCGATACCTGCCCAAAAACCGTGTCTTTAACATGCGCCCGAGGGGCCGGCAAGATACCCTTCGCTCGGGTGGGGTGGTCAATTTGACCCCCCCCCCCCCGCTGAGATCTCGGGAACTAAGAAAGCTAGAGACACCAAATTTACAGAGTGTCTTGACCTGTACCTGAACTCACTTAGGTCAAAGTTTCAGGTTCTTAGGTCATGACCTCCGTGTCAAAAAAGGTAAAATAAGGCCAAGTTTCAGGTTGGTCTCCAAAGTGTCCCCAGAACCTAGATAACCGTTTCTAAGCAAAAGGTCACATTCTCATTCACAGTCAGTGACCTCGTTTGACCTTTTGGGGGTCAAGGTGATCAAAATCATGCAAGATTGCTTCGAGTTTTGCATTCGACTAAGCGACAAAGATTACGTCAGGCAGTATATTCCCTAAAACAAAATGTTGACCTGGGTTATTTTAGATCAATGACCTTTTTTGGCCTCTAAGAAGTCCATTGAAGGTGTATAACGCGGTTCCTCATCTAAAAAACTCGAAATGAGCACCAGAAACTATCCCATACAGCAAGCCCTGGAGTTACAAAGCAGGTTGATTTGACATTGGTGTCACCTTCATATCTGACCTTAGGCCAATGTAAGTTCCTCATTCAACTGTTGTGTTGCCTAAGAAAGCATCTCAGAGATGTGTGGCTTCGTCTAGCACTCCGTTGTTGGATCAGATTGAAGGACTCCCTAAAAATTTCCTTCGCTGAAACCATGGCCTAACTTTGACCTGCCATAGGTCAGCGACCTTACAAGGCACATCTAAATTGCTAATGCCAAACGATTTGCTATATAATTGTCTACAGCTATGCAAAGTTTGGTGCGGCTACGCCTCGCAGTTTGGAAACTATTCTGGAGAAACCTTCGGGAGGGTCAATTTGGCCCCCACCCGAGCACGTGTTAAGTCCGCGCGTTGCGGACCAGCGGGCTCAAAAGTGGCAGCTCTAATCTCGACCATAGCGAAGCAAAACACGTAAGGGTGCAGACTGCCATATCTACCAGTACCTGCCGTCCCTACCCATACAGAAGCGCGTTCCAAGAGACATGCATGGGCCATGGCTTTAACCGACACCCCTGATATCACGTGACACTTCACGCACTGCACATACCGTAAGAACAACAGCAAAGGCGTGGACGACATGCCCGCTAACAACCGCGCTTGTTTCCCGTGGCGCCCTTTACCTGTGTGGTAGCTGATTCTGCTGTGCGTCGGCTGCGCGCGTGCAGTGCGGGGTGGAGCTGGGCGCTGCGGGGGCACGGCGCGGCTGCGAGCGGCGGACCCGTTACGCTGTACTGCAGAGAGCGCCGAGCGGACTGGCCGACCAGCGACGACGCCGGGCGCCGCCGCTGGCCGTGTGGGCGGCGGACCGGCCGCCCCCAGCCGGCAGGCACGCCCGAGCGCCGGCTTTCACGGCCACCGGCGTCCGGATAGGCGCACACCGAAGTCAGAGAAGGAGCACCTCGGCCATGGGCGAAGCTCACATGCTCGACCGAGGTGAGAGGAAATATGCCGTCTGCCGCGGCCCAAGCAACGTCATGGGTGCCGTCCCTCCAGATCCGCAGGCAACAAACGTTCGCGACGCGTTTGCGTGGTAAGTCAGACATATCGCGTGGTGCCATTACCATGATGCGCTTGGCCGCCACAGGGCACCATTCTTGCACCACAAGGCATGCTTCAAGAACTTTTTGGTCCTTGAACCGGACCTCCTTTTGTAGTCTTTTGACATGCTTGAGCCCGTAACACTACAGTCTTCAAGGGAGGCAGGAGCATCACGGATGGGCAACAGGTGTGCCTTGCGTGTCCACCCTCCCCCCCCCCCCCCCCTCTGCACCCGGCCTTCCCCGCCCCGGCAGCAGTGCTGATCCCACCGCGTCAATGATTTGGCTCCGACATAATTGGTTTGGTCCCCATTACACCAGTTTAGACTCACCAGAGCGGGAGCTGACAGAGCGGAGTGTCAAACCCCGGCGGCATTTGTGCGTGAAGGCCGCCAGGTCCTGACAAATGAGCTTCGGTATTTTTCGGCAGATTCAGACCTGTGGCGAAACGCGTTCTCTATTCAAATTCAACAGCTACGTTATTTAGTAGCACGTGAGCAAAGTTGTGGTGAACTGCCGAACTACATTTTGCCAATGGGTGCCTGTTTGTGGTGCCGAATCCCTGTCAAATAAGGACACTGGGTGTGTCCACCAACGCCAGATGGCTGTTTTAATGCACCGACGCCACGCACGGTGCTCTTTATTGACCCGTGTACCGGATGGTAAGATCACGCAACACCGCGATACTGGTTATTTACGTCACCCAGTTCGTGCTCTGCGCCATTACGCTGAACCCTCGCCCCGATGGGAGGGTGAAGGGGAACGTCGGTGCAACTCCCCTAACGTTTTTTAGGATGCCTCTCTGGCGCGTTTTGCAATCGTATGCAGATTTGCACTAGTCTATGGGGCATCTATTGCACGTGCTTTAACACCAAAGAAATCGCTCCTGACGTTCCTGGTTTCGGAGCAGCGGCGATTTTTAGGAACACTGCACGGCGGTCTGCGGCCGGCGCCGGCGGCGGGTGGCAACCGATGCTGCCGCTGAGTGCGCGGCGGGCCGACATCGTTGCATTAGCGGAGCCATAGATCATTAACATGCGCTCAAAAACGATCAAAATACACAACATTGCCCTTGACATTGAACAAGGCACACGCCTGTTTAGATTTTGTGTCGCCACAAGGCATGATTTCGAGGATATGACGCTATAACTGAAAAAATGCGATTTATACGAAACTTTTATTTTTGACCTGGCATAATGGGGTCAGTAATCAGTGCAACAACGTCGTCATAAGCATGGCGTTCGAAGTGATCCAATAAATTCCTGATTCAGAAGTTCTCACGGATCCTTGTAGTGCACCTGAGACGGTTCTCGCTGCAGCAGGATCAGTCCAGACATAAGCTCAACACCACCGTGAACATCTCCCCCAGTGGTCTAAACCGATCGCCACACTCCGCCGTGCTGGAAGACCAGGAGTGCAACCTGCAGGGCGTGACCAACCATTGCGGCGTGGCGTACTCTGGCCACTTCACGGTCCACTGAAAACACCCTTTTTGGTAGTCTGGTACGAGCGTGACCTCAGAGACCTGTCCACCCGAATGTGCTGCGCCTACATGCCGCTTTTTTCGATAATAACGCCGTTAACTAGGATACCACTAAAAGAGACAGTCATGCCTGCACGGACTGTGCACGGACACCACAAGAAAGGGCCGAAACACGCTCGCAGAGCGATCGTGGGTTTACTTCATAGCATCAATTAACAGGCCATCTTGCAAAAAGTTGCAGAACTACAAGTGAGTAAGCCCGTCCGCTACAGTGACAATTCTGGCATGGCCAGCCTGGCAGCGATTTTGAAGTAATTAAAAATGTTGCATAGCGTAATCAAACAATAGCATGCTGAGAAGTGCATTGCTAAAAAGTAGAACGTGCTGCCTAGGTCCAGAGCAGTCTTTTGCGCTTAAAAGCATCCCAATAGTTACAAGCAAGCTTTTCCGTCATGTTTGGTGCTTGTCTCAATGTCTTCAAATGTGGTGCGTTCCCTTTAAAGGGTGTAGTCCACTTCGATATCGGGTTTTAAACTGAACTAACCATCTTGAAGACATTTCGGTGCTATTAACAATCCTGTCCTTCTCAATACCTAAGCTCCTATAGTTCCTGAGCTACACGCCCGCGAAGATGGGGAAAGGTATATCGGGGAAGCATTTCAAAGCCATCTTGGCATTCATGACATCATAATAAGGTGATTCAAATCCTGCCATTTCCTAAGTCAAGCGGCGATCAAGGCCAAGGCAAGTATATTTGTCGAAGCACTTATGTCTGGCGTTCACGAGCGGCATTTCCAGATAGAACGGCCGTCAATTGGCCCTTGATCAATGTTGTGCAAGATACGATAAGGTTATGAAATGACGGTGCGTTGAGGAGCATATATATATATATATATATATATATATATATATATATATATATATATATATATATATATATATATATAATGTGTGTGTGTGTGTGTGTGTGTGTGTGTGTGTGTGTGTGTGTGTGTGTGTGTGTGTGTGTGTGTGTGTGTGTGTGTGTGCGTGCATTTATACCACACAGAGAACTGTGCGGCCTAGAACAGTTTTTTTCCACTTTTAAGTGTACCAATGGTTATAAGTGAGCTTGTTTACTCATATCTGATGTTTCCTTCAACTTCTGCAAATGTGACCCATTCCCTCATATATGCGAAAGACGAAAGCTATCTCTATATTCGCACCATAGAGACATGCAAAATGTTAAGTACTTCACATTTGGACATTTATAGCGACGCCCAGAGCCTTGCGCACTAGTTTGCAACGTAAAATGCGTCAAAGTTAATTGGGGAAAGCTTGGCAGACTTTGGAAATGAAAAGCGATTGGTACAATTTATGCTTTATACTGCCTAGCATTTAATTGCAACTGGCCAACATTTCTGTTTCGAAGTGAACAGTGGTGCTGAGCATTAATTGCGAGGGATGTGTGGCATGCGTGTGCGCCGCCAACGAGGGGAGAGAATGGGGGACGCCCCCTATTCTCAAGCAGGAGGGATTGCCCCCTACCGAGGATGAAAGCCTCAGAAAACAGCATTCAATAATCTGCATGCAGGACGGAATTCAAATTAAATCCTTGTACATGTCCACTGACAGCGAGAAAAGAAAGATATGAACGAATATTGGAGTTACAATGCTGACTTTAAAACATTATTTTGCACTATTTTTCGCGGTGACATAACAGCTGACAATCATTGCGCTATGGAGAGGCGTAGATCCAAACAGAAGGCCGACCCCAATGCTGTTTATTATAGGGATTACCCAAATCCGCGCAAACGCAATTGATCATAGCTCTTGTAGGTACGCCTGCTGGCTGGAAATATTTTTGGCAGATACGGTTGCTGACTGGCTGGGCTTAGAAGTCTGGAAAACAGGATTGGTGGACGACCGGATCTAACCTAGCTGGACCGGACTGAACCGGTTCCTAAGAATTCAATTCGCGAAGATGATTACCGCGGGGTCAGCGTGACTTTGTCACTTCCTGAAGCAGCTGTCTGGTCACTGACGCTGTCTGGTCGCTTTGTCACTTCCTGAAGCAGCTGTCTGGTCGCTGATGCTGTCTGGTCGCTTTGCCACTTCTAGCTGTCTGGTCGCTTTGCCACTTCCTGAAGCAGCTGTCTGGTCATTGGTGCTGTATGGTCGCTTTGTCACTTCCTGAAGCAGCTGTCTGGTTGCTGATGCTGTCTGGTCGCTTTGCCACTTCTAGCTTTCTGGTCGCTTCGCCACTTCCTGAAGCAGCTGCCTGGTCACTGATGCTGTCTGGTCGCCCTTTCACTTCCTGAATCAGCTGTCTGGTCGCTGATGCTGTCTGGTCGCTTTGTCACTTCCTGAATCAGCTGTCTGGTCGCTGATGCTGTCTGGTCGCTTTGTCACTTCCTGAAGCAGCTGTCTGGTCGTTGATGCTGTCTGGTCGCTTGCCACTTCCTGAATCAGCTGTCTGGTCGCTGATGCTGTCTGGTCGCTTTACCATTTCCTGAATCAGCTGTCTGGTCGCTGATGCTGTCTGGTCGCTTTGCCACTTCCTGAATCAGCTGTCTGGTCGCTGATGCTGTCTGGTCGCTTTGCCATTTCCTGAATCAGCTGTCTGGTCGCTGATGCTGTCTGGTCGCTTTGTCACTTCCTGAAGCAGCTGTCTGGTTGCTGATGCTTGCCAGTTTCAACCGGTGGGCAGGCAGTGGTACTCACGCTACGCTGGAAATGGTCCGCTAAGAACTCGCTGTGTGAGGCATGCTGTTGAGCTTCTGAATCAAAACGTGACGCCTTCGCCTTTGGCGTGATGTGACACGGCATTCAGACTGGCGTCAGCCCTCAACGCCTCGGAGGGGGACTGATGTCAGTCCTCGATACCTTGGGGAAGGCTGATGCTAGTCCTCAACGCCTCGGAGGAAGACTGATGTCAGGCCCATTACCTCGGAAGAAGATTGACGTCAGTCCTCACCGCTTCGGAGGAAGAGCGAGGCCTTGGAACACGGTGTCGCCAGCCCCTGGTGCCATATATGGCGCGGGATGATGTGTTTATGTGGAGCACTCCCACGGGCCGCCGCCCGCAGCGGGCGAGCGGCAGCGCCGCCCGTCGACCGGCCCGATTCGGCTGGCCCGACCGCTGGAGGTTACCATGCTCGGCAGGACGCCGGCCACCCTCGGCGGCGCCCAGGTGTGCCGAGGTCACGCCCGATGACGTCACGGCTGAGTCAGTGGCGGCGTCGCTCCTTATATGGCAGCCGGGCCTGGCGTCCGCCGC